CCACTTGTGAGCTGTTCAGGACCCGAAGTCCCAGTGAGATCATGGAAAGCTGCACGCTGCAAAAGTCTTGCTGCAGATCTTTGGAACTGGCGTTTCTGGTTAGCCGGGCCCCAAGGTTTTCTGAAGGGAAAAATATTTGAACATTACAGTGAGTTGTGTGTCTTGGGAACACCACCACCGTTCCCATACCCTCTTGAGCAGTGGTCCTCACTCAACCTGGGCATTGCGACCCCCTGGGGGTCGAAGGACCCGTTTACAGGGGTCACCTAAGAACACTGGAAAACACAGCTGTTCACATTACAATTCATAACTAGCAAAATGACAGCTGTGAAGTCGCAATGAAAATAATTTGATGGTTGGGGGTCACCACAACATGAGGAAGTGTTTTAAAGAGACCCAGCATTAAGAAGGCTGAGAACCCCTGCTCTATAGCAATGGAAGCCCTTTGCGCTTATTTGCCTCATAGCTACTCAGCCGCTCAAATGGCTTCGGAGGGGATTTGGTCAGGCCTCCTGGAGTCAAAGGCACCATGAACACATCTTCCTGTAAGAATCATGATCTAGTAGAAACCTCTACCTTAGATATGCTAGCAAGATTATTCTATTTTTTTTTTAAAGTTACCAAATCAGAAACACGTACTCTGGTAGAAAACCCACATCTCCTTCTGCAAAGGGCCGGGCATTATGTTCTTGGAAATTCTACATTGCTTTGTGTAATTCATATTTTTTTATATTTCAAAAAATGTAGGCCATCGATTCAAAATGTCAAAATCTTTAATACAATTGTGAATGTAGCTAGGAATGTTTATGTAATTACATTGAAATCCGCATAGCAATCAACTCCGTGGCTCTTCAAAGGGTAGTTTGTTCAGCCCACAAGTAGAGAAATTAGCCGTAGACTTATTTTTAAAGGCTTTTATGTCTTCCCACTTTTAGATGGATGGAGTGTCCCTACCTTTTCCCCCTGGCAGTTCCAAGCGAAATACAACCCAGCTTTAGAAGGAGTTTGGGGTCCAAGCAGCCCTTGTCAAGGGGTCAAGGAAGGTAGTTTTCTTTATATTGTTAACACGACAAAAATTCATGTACAAAAACTGTTTAATGATTATTCATGTAAGTCGATTTATCGAGACAGAAAATAATCCCACATTTTCTTTACCGAGCAATCGAGCAAAACACGGTAGTACAAGTAGCGGCAAAACCTTGGTAACAAGAGCTGAGAAATCATCGATTAAGACAACATCGCCCTCTGGAGGATCCAGGTGGAACTACAGAGCAGTAACCAAAGACAAACGCGGAGAGCAACAGAAACACAATAAACGGCCCTCTGGCCCTCGTGTCGCGGCTCTGACCCCTGTTTCAAGCTTCCGGTCGATGACTTGCACATTGCTATTGAGAGACTTAAAAACTGAAATTGTAACCCTGACATCTTTAAGAACTTTAAAATTAGTTCATTAGAATTCGGTGTGGTGTGGGCGCACGCAGCCTGTATTCCCGGCTCCTTGGCCACCTGAGATGGGAGAATCTGGAGTTCCAGGCCAGCCTGGGAAACACAGAAAGACCCATCTCAAACAAAACAAAATACTCCAAACCAGAAACAGCTTTCACCAGCAAATAAAAGTCAGGATTCTGAAACGAGAAACAGGCACCCCCAAATGCATCCCGTAGGCCCCTCTTCTTGAACTAAGTAGGGCCTTGAATAAATCTACAAGAATTTTATTCATGAGAAAATGTAGATGACTGACAGCTTAATTTTATCAGAGGCATTTGCATGTTAATGGGTTGGAAGTCTTAATTAAAAGAGAGGTGGCAACAACCAGAATGTCTAGTATTGCAGAGCCAGATAATGATCTCCCTTACACTATTTTTCTTTCACATTATGCTGATTTGGGGGGCGGGGTTAGTAACCCCAATGTAAGTCAAGAGGCATCCATCCTCCTTTTTACAATTCCTACTTGTTACTTTTAAATTCAGCAGGTCTTTTCCCCACTGATAGACTCGTTTTAATGACTGTCCTAAAAGGAGTCAAAAGACTTAAAACCACCTATATTTAATTATTCTAACTAGATACCGGTATTTTCAAGGAAGATCACAGTCCCCCATCTCAATGCCTCCCAATGTATCTATTATACATACACTGTTCCCTGGCCTGGTCAAATGGAGTAGGTCAATGGAGGAATTCTTGATTAGCATGTTGGAGGTCTTGGGGTCAAGTCCCAACTCCACAGAAATCACTTCTTTCTTTCTTTTTCTTATCCATTTCCAAATCACTAGTTGGCAATATTTGTATAATTAAACTTAAAAAAAAATTTAATGCCACTATCTCAGTTTTTACACGTATGGTGTCATGGAGCCGCCAGTGACAGGTGGTGCACCTGCAGGTGCACAGAAAAGCCTTAGGTCTCT